CCTGGCAGCATAGCTCAACTCTGGACAAATTCTCTTGGCTTCTGTTTCCTCAACTGTATAATAAGGATTATAATAAAATCTACCTCATATGAGGACTAAGCAAATATGTAAAGTGCTTAGAAGAGAGTCTGGTATGTATTAAGTACTACCTATGTGTCTGTTGTTATTATTAGTTGCCACAACTTTTTCCATAAACTAAAGCAGCAGCAGCTTACCAATTTGTTAGCAATAACTAAGAATTTTATTTGCAGTGCTCCATTAAATTAATTCTTTAGCAGGAAAATGTCTAAAGTCAACTGAAATGACAATTAGCATAGTTGCTCATCCACAAAGCTAATTCTGCATTACTTACAAATATTCTATATGCTATATACTTCTTTCAAACTTGAGTCTTCAAAGAGATTACACTGATCTTTGAGTTCAGGCCTCACCAGCTATTCCTTGTAGTTGGTTACCTCTTTCTGAAGAAACAGACTTCAAAACAGAGGCCAAGGAACAGAATAGAGAGCCCACAAATAAATCTACATATATACAATCCACTGATCTTCAACAAGAGTGCCAAAAATACACAATGGAGAGGCTGGTCTCTTCATCAAATGGTGCTGAGAAAACTGGATATCCACATGGAAAAGAATGAAATTGCATCCTTATCTTACACTATACACAAAAGTCAACTCAAGATAAATTAAAGACTTAAATGTAAGACCTAAAACGGTAAAACTCCTAGAAGAAAAGATAGGGGAAAAGCTTCATGACATTGATCTTGGCAATAGTTTCATGGCTATGACGCCTAAAGCACAGGCAACAAAAATAAAAATAAACAAGTGTGACTACATTAAACTAAAAAGCTTCTGCACAGCAAAGGAAACAACAGAATGAAAAGGCAACCCATGAAATGGGAGGAAATATTTGCAAACCATGTATCTGATACGGAGTTAGTCTCCAAAATATATAAGGAACACTGGCAACTCAACAGCAAAAGAACTAATAGCCTGATTTAAAAATGGGCTAAGGAATTAAATAGGCATTTCTTCAAAGAAGATATGTAAATGGTCAACAGATACATGAAAAAGGGCTCAAAATCACAAATTATCAAGGAAATACAAATCAAAGTCACAGTGAGATATCACCGAACATCTGTCAGAATGGTTACCAAAAATAAATAGCTAAATAAAACAATAGACAATAAGTGTTCGCAAGTATGTAGAGAAATTAGAACTCTTGCAAACTGTCGCCAGAGGCTCACTGGGATGTCCAAGACAGGACTCAATCCAGCGCAGAGGTGACTGGGCTCTTATTTCTGCAAAAGAAAGAATGAAAGAGCGAGACAGATGTAAGAAAGTGAAAGTGAATTATTGAAAACAAATGTACACACTTGAGAGGAAAGTTCGGGTGAACTCAGAGAATGAATTGCACAGAGGAAGTCAGGATCAGGGGTTTTTTATCCCTCCCATGGTGGGAACTGATGACATCCCATTGATGTGGTTCATTCATCTCCTCTCCCTGGGAGGAACCCTGAATTTCCCTCATTTTCTTCCTTATTTGGTTCATCCAGAACTGTTATGGTGTCAGATGCATGATGGGAGTCCTAGTAACCACATGCAAATGACATTATAAGACATTAAAATTAGCTAAAGGTCAGGTTCCCCCATCATACAGACTAGCCTTGCTATATGAAACTTGTTCATGTTTTTCTCCAGCTACAGGTGCTGGATACAGTCATTTGTTACCTGAGTAACCATGAGGCACCTCCAGTTGTACCCTGGAGGGGGTTGTCAATTTCCTAGGCTACTTATCCTGCCTCATTGTTGGTGGGAATGTGAAATGGTGCGGCCACTATGGAAAACAGTATGGAGGTTCCTCAAAAATTGAAAATAAAACTACTATATGTTCCAGCAATCCTATTTCTGGATATATATCCAAAATAATTAAAAATAGGGTCTTAAAGAGATATTGCACATCCATGTTCACTGCAGCATTACTCATAATAGCCAAGATGTGGAAGCAACTCAAATGTCCATCTATTGATGAATGGATTAAGAAATGTGGCACAAACATACAATGGAATATTATCCAACCTTAAAAAAGGAAATCCTATCATATGCTACACTGTGGATAAACTTCAAGGACATTATGCTAAGTGAAATAAGCTAATCATAAAAAGACAAATAACTGCATGATTCCACTTATATGAGGTATCTAACGTAGTCAAACCTATAGAAACAGAAAGTAGAAAGAGGCTACAGTTAGAAGGAAATAGGGAGTTGTTCAATGGGTATAGTTTCAGGCATGAAAGATAAAAAGGTCCTAAAGATCTGCTGTACTACACTGTGCATAGTTAACAATACTCTACTGTACACTTAAAAATTTAAGAGGGTAGATCTCATGTTAAGTGTTCTTACTGTAACTATACATGAACTTCATTTCTTTAGCATGCATTCTGCTTTAATCCAAGCCAGCTTTGTTTAGCCTGATAGAACTATAACTCATTTGCATTCTTTCCCCAGACCCTCCTACCTGTACGTATACTGTTTGTCCACTCCTTTTAATCATTAAGCCCTTAGGACATTAGGTTCTGGTCAACACTAAATTCATTTAAAGCTTCAGGTCTATCAATCATGACCATGACACAATAGCCAAACCTCAAACCAGAATAAGGTTTTAGTCAAACAAAGATAACTTCTTGGCCTCAGTTACGTTTCAGCTCCAGACTCATGAAAGCAGAACATCCCCACTGACCACATTCCCTGGGGACCGGGCCCAACAATGACAAGATCAACATCAGGACCTGAAGCCATGATCAATTGCTCCCTGCCTGAGCCCCAACCAATCAGGGGAGCCCATGACCCCAATTCCCATAGCAACCATGATTAATGATTTTTCCCTTAAATAATCTAGACGCTAGAGACCATGGGGAGCCAGGTTTTTGAGAGCACTCGCTCACTTGTATCTCCGGGCTTGGCGCCAATTCCTTAATAAACCTTCACTTTCTTTGCTGCAAACGTCCACTCATTTTTTCTTTTGGCTTGGATGTGCATAGACACGTGCACCCCTTGAGTCTATGATAACATTACCACAGAAAGAAGGAGGAAGGAAGGAAAAGAAGGAAAGGAGGGAGGGAGGGAGGGAGGGAGGGAGAGGGAGAGAAAGAGGGAGAAAGAGAGAAAGAGAAAAGAGAAAAACCCACAGAGGCCAAAGGACTCATAAAATGTCCAGTTTACCTCCATGACTGCTATGGCAATTTGAAAACAGTAATCTACTTACTGAATCAAACCCAAAACAGGTACTGTATTTCCCCATGTATAAGACGCACCCCTTTTCGAAAAATTTGGGATCTAAAACCTGGGTGCATCTTATAGAGTGGTTGTAGATTTTTTATTGCATTTCCCGTTTTTTCATGCTTGTTGTCTTTGTGCTCATTGTTTCACAGTTGTTACTGGTATATTAGGTTACGTTTTGCCACATTCTGCCCAGAAATGGCTCAGAAAAGATTTTCGTTATCGTGCTGAATTCAAGTTAAAAGTGATCCAGTTTGCAAAAGTGAATGGAAATCGTGCTGCTGAACGTAGGTTTGGTCCTCCTCCAACTGAGAAAACAATCCGAGACTGGCTATGGTTGGGAGTTTTGACAGTGATGAAGAGTTGTATGAATTTTATGATAAATAAAACTTGAGTTCAATAACTTTATGTAATACTTTTTTTTTTTCAAATTTTGGGCCCCAAAGTAAGGTGCGTCTTATACATGGGAGCGTCTTATACATGGGGAAATACGGTAACATATAGCTTATTTGATATGAGACAACAGGGACTGTTAGAATTTTTTCCTCACATGTCAGGACTTTGATTTTTGGAGTTTGGGTATCTAAAAAAGATGATTTGGAGGGAAGTTATATATGAGAGGAAAACAGTCACCCTAGTGCGAGCACTGCCTAGGAAATGGGAATGAAGGAAAGCTGTCCACCATATCATGGTGAGAAAGCCCAGTACCACACTCAGCAGGTGGTCCAATATTTGTTCAGTGTTGATGCCTCAGTTTTTCTGTGCAACCTCCACAACAAATACTGTGACTCTTGCTCATTAATGAATTTCTAGAAACGTTAAAATTCACAAAAACATTCTGCGTGATTGAAGTTACATCAACCAAAACCAAACAAAACTCTCATGTGTGAATAGCTTCAGACCGTTCAACTGGGTGAAAAAGAACATGTAAAGAAAACGATTTTCTGTATCACCTAAGTAAAGCTCTAATCTTTTACCTTCTTGAAGATTTACTAATATCCGATTGCTCTAAACTTTTCTTGTATAAAAAGCAGCTGAGTCTTTTTGGAAAGAGGGTTTATTTTGCCTGAGTCATCCAGATACTAATTCAAACAACTCATTTTCTAAGGACGATCTGGGCGGGGCTGCCCTGCGCAGTCAATGCCTGCTGCCCTACCCAAGCTACATCCAGCTACGCCCGGCTTAACCAGGAGTTGACAGTGTCCCCTAGCAAGGAAACATGCCGTTGTTTATTGTTCAGTGAAATGTGCAACCGCAAGCCAAACGCTCCCTTGCACTGTTTCTGAAGTTTATTCCAGTTTTCCAAGGGCGTTTTCATATTTTGATTTTTCAACACCTCCATCCCCCACAGGCATCTAATAGGGGCCCTAATGTATTCAGCTCCTCCCTCGCAATACTGCACTCAGCTGAGAGCCCGATGGCTCTGGCCAATAAAACTGCTTAAAATAAAAAAACGTCAGAAAATAGCTAAGTAGGAAGAAAAATAGAACACCCGAGGCCCCAGTTGATGTTGGAATGTGCCATTCGTTTCGAAGGGAGGAAAGTCCCTGGTGTGAATTAATTCGCAGGTCTTATGTCACTTACCGGACCTTCGGTGATGCACAGCCTCGGAATATAAAGCACAAAGAAAGGGCTGGGCACAGGCAGGGGGCCGAGGCAGAAGAGGAAACCCTCTTCAGCAGCTCAGGAATGCGTCCCCCGCCGGCCCGCATGGTGCGCTCCGGGGCGGTCCCGGCGGGCGGGCGGTGAGGCAGAGCGCGCAGGGTGGTGGTGGCAGTCTGCACGATGGCGTACCCCGGGCATCCTGGCTCCGGAGGCGGGTTCTACCCAGGTGGGGTAAGTGCTGCCTGCGCGGGACTGCGGCCCGGGCGTGACCCTTGGGTCCCGGGGTCGCCGAGAGACCACACTTGGCGATTCTGCTTGGGTGGCTCCCCGGACACCTCCCGCCCCAGGCTTCTCCCTGCCCGCTGCCTCGCCCCAAGCCCAGGCCATTCGGCCTCTTTCTCTGGCTCGCTCCATCTCTCTGTCCCTTCTGCCTCCCCTCGGGTGGCTGCCCAGGGCCAAGGCACGGGTGGATTGCGACCCCAGAAGCCCACCCTGTGACTCTTGGACACGCGGCGTCAAATTGTGCAAATTAGGTGTTGGCTTCCTCCCTTTCCCTGTGTGTTTCCCGTAAGAGCAACAGCCATTTTATCCTAGAATGGTCCAGACCTCTCTATCTTTCCCTTTAAAAGAAGGTAAGAAAAGAAAGAAAGAAAAAAAAAAGTCAAGGAAGGACCGCCAGAGTAAAAGCCCTCCGAGAAGAAAGCCTCCTAGCCTGGCTTCTGGGATGCGCGTTGTCGTGGGAACTGTTTCCGGGAACATTCCCTCGCGGAGAAATAACCCAGCCGGGACACACCGTACCTCTCCCTGGCTACACCTGTCTCAAAATGCTTTGAAAATACCATAAGCTCTGTTTTTAAAAAATTAAGCTCTGCTCTTAAATTGCTGCCTGGGTTGCATTTACCTTAGTAACCTGCAGGTTAATAGGAGTTTTAAAAGTTGGTTCACTTAACGCAGATGTCACTGTCAGGACAACTCATTTTGGTACAAGCCACCAGTTTTTAAATTATACTGGAGTGAGAATGGAAGAAAGGGGTAGAGTGAGTGCAGCTGGAGTGTGCCCGGTGGTGGGGAGGTAAAAGAAGTGAAGGGCGGGCCATTGCCTGGCTTCGCACAAAGGCACTCACTCAGTGATGAAAGAATAACGCTTGGTTCAGCGGTATGATGCCGAATTTGTGTTTCCTGTTTTACAGTATGGAGGGGCTCCTGGAGGGCCTGCGTTTCCCGGACAAACTCAGGATCCGCTGTATGGTTACTTTGCTGCAGTAGCTGGACAGGTTAGCTTTTCCCTTTAATATTAAAGAACGATCCGAATCCGCGTTTGTATTAGCCTTTGTTACAGTGGCACAGAAAAACTACCTTCCTCGGGGGAAAAAAAAACCCCTTTGCTTCTGCAAAAGGAAAAAGTGAAAGCAGGAAACTTATAGTCAGTTACTTATTTCTGAGTATTCAGAACAAATTAGGACAAAGTGTTACCGATGTTCATATTAGTTCAATTCAGAACTAAACTTGTGATTAAGTTAGGGTCAGGTTGAACAGAATAGGGGGTTATTAATACACTTTAAGATCTGTAAGATAGAAAGATGTCTTTAGAACTGTGAATCTTTGGGGTCCAGGGTGGTTTCCAGAGCAGAAATTTCATATCTGTTGCACAAATCCCTGTTTGCACAACTTAACGACATGTACTAGTAATTCTATAGTAAGTCTAATGGACACTTTCTTTGGGTTGAATTTGATTGTTAATCAGTTACCACCTTAGGAAATACAATAGGTATTTACGGTAAAAATCCACCAGCTTCAAAATAAGAAAGTTACTACTCTTCTTCCTCTCAGGAAGTTAATCTTGTGAACAGTTTAGTTTCTGTTTGATGCAAATGTTACTAGTTCAGTTCTTCTGTGTCCTTATTAGGTGTTGTGGCCTTTTGACCCAAAGAGAGGATTAAGGTTGCTCCCCCAGACCTTTCACTTGTCTACATTCTGAGTTACCTCACAAGTGCAGGTGGGGATCAAGGGGGAACATTTCCTTAGCCCACTAGGTCACTGTGTATGGTTAATATGCTGTTGGTATAACTCAGACATGTCCAGAGGGAATGTTTGCTCATATGAATTCATCTTAGCTTTGTTTTGATCAAAAACTAAAAGGAACACAACCTTCAAGTGAAAATGCCATAGAATATTATGGAACAAAAACCTAAGACCACCTTTTAGAACAGCCCTCTAAGAAATGCCGTTTGAGAAATTGAGTGGAAAATTGAGTCTAAAACTGAAAGAGCTTCCCTGGAAGTATCTGCTCGATCTGCTAATGATCTGTATCTTTGAAACCACAAGACACAGCAAAGCTCAATACTCACATTCTTAGATTGCCTGTGCCTCCATCCGTGTAAGTGACCCCACCTGCTTAGCTTTCAGCAGCCCTGGCCTGTATCAGCGTACCTGTCGTCTTTCAAACTGTTGATCCTTTTCCTCATTTAGCACTTAGAATACCCATGGACTTTAGGACTTAGGTGTTTTATTTTAAAACCCCTAAAAGTAACATATATCTAATTCTGACCTAGAATAGCCACTGGGATCTTCTGTCTTCCCAGATACATGTAATTGTGGTCTGAAAAAACCATTCCCCCATGTGCCACAGCATGAGGTGATCACAAAGGTCTCTCTTTGTTTGAACCAAACTTTTTATGTACAGATGTCAGCTGTGTACCCTGCTCTCCCCTCTTGCCCCCAAAAGCTAGAAGGAGGAATAAGATTTTTAAGCAACTACATTATTGTATTTTAAAATGCTTAACTTGGGCATGTTCCTCGTTCAGAGAGAAGAGTAGTTCAAGACAGAAACTAGTTTTATTCATTCATTAAAAAATACCCTGGGGGCCAGCCGAGTGGCACGATGGTTAAGAACTGGCTTGGGATGCCAGAGGGCCCCAGTTCAGATCCCACATATGAGGGCCAGTGACACTGCCCTCCACAGCTAA